GCATATGTAAATATTTATGACTACATAAGTTACAGAATATTTTTTAACTTTCAAATGAATCTCTTACTTTGATTCTGCTTTCATTGGTTATTCGTTTAATCAACTAAATTGTCAAAATTAAATTCTAAATATAATAGTTGATTTAGTATTGTATATTAAGAACACTTTAAAAATATATAAATGAAAAATTATATCAAAAGTAATTTTTACATTCTGTAAAAATGTACCTCTTTAAATAATTTTACATTTTGTTTTAAACACCAAACTAGCAAATGTTTCTATTAATTTCCTATAATAACACATTGATTGATGCGTCATCATCCAGCACATGCTAAACATGTTTTCCAGTGAAAGTAAGCTTTTTCTGATCCCAAGGCCTAAGTCAAAAGGAAGTGAAACATTTGTGATGTCACCAAGTCCAGCCATAATTCTCAGCATGTTCCAAACTAAACCGATTCCTGTTGCTTTAGTTCCATCAGCTTCTTGCCCACTTCAAGAACTTTTATTCAACTTAGTGTGGAGCCATAAAAAGGTTACACTGTGAACTCGCATACATTTTTTTCACAAAACAATTGTACGCTTAAAAATTGATGACTTTTATTGCTAGCCTAAATAAAATATTAAACTAATGTAAACAAATGACTCTACACATTTAGAACTAAACACAGCCTACCTACTATTCTAATCCATTTTTACAAATGCAATTACTGCAGCCAAACTATAAATGAATGTCTGAAGACTCTACTGCCCTGTTCCACATGCAAGGCTGGCCTATATATAGCCTATCTGTTGTTTGATTATTCAAATCCCAGCTTATTTTTGTGAAATGACTTGCGCTATTTTCTTCTAAATAAATGTTTGGTTATGCAATGCAACAGCATTCATACGTTTGAAATGTGAGGGGTTTTAATTGTCCCATACGTTTTGATGCCTCTGTATCGATTTGCTGTATCACAGCGACATCAAGCGGTTGATTTCAAGAACTAATGACTCTTATGAGCCGGTTCCTATGGCCGGTTCTTTTTAGAAATTCAAAAACAGGCTAAGCGACAGGAAACTTTCTATCTATCGATCTATTTTCTAATTTATCTTAGCAATTTTAATTTTATTCTGATATCTCCATACTGCTGAAGTCAATTAATTTAACAAGAATATTTCCGAAAAATAGCTATATTTTTCAAAATAGGCTACTAAAAGATTTGTAAATGTCAATGAACTGTAGGCTAATGAATGAACGTTAGATTCCTTATGATTCCCTGGGCCACGGTTTTCACACGAATTAAATTAAATGAATAAATGAACGAATGAATGAATGAAAAGAGGAAGGCCTATAAATAGCCTCAATCAATTAAATGCAGCCAAACATTGTAAATATTTACTGGATTATAACGTTAAGAATGATAAACAGGGAACTTATGGCATTTTGCACGTTAAGTTTCTATCAATCAAAATTAGTAAATCATACTATCTGAAATCATACTACTACATTTTGTATAAAGAAACATTCCAATGACGCCTTTAGAATTTTAATCTAAAATATTTCTATGAAAAATGAGTGTGTGGCGTTAACTCAACATTAAAAATTAAATGCTAAATACAAAATTTTAATACAGAATACAACAAATTCTGGATGAACTTTTTTAATTTCCTCCTAACTTATATGCACTTTGTTTAAATATAAATATAAAATAGTAAGACCTAAAATAATTATACTGCATTGAAAAAGGTTCTTAAAGATGCCTTTTAAACTTTAATCTAATTATAAAATATGTCTATGAAAGCTAAGTGTGTAGAAATGCTTTAATGTTAAAAATGAGTATACAATACAAATATTTAATAGAAATAAGTATTTTTTTAATCTCATTACATTCAGAATAAAGACAGTTCTGAAATAATCAGCATCTTGCGGTTCAGCCCTAATGAGGACCTGTACACTCCAGTGTAATCTTAGAATAAAATTAGATCTTTCCTCCTCCGTTTCAAATTGATTAAGATTGCTTCAGTTTGTTCAAAACCTCCTGAGTGAGTCTTTTGCTATATTTATTAATCTTGTGATGTCCTGGCATCCATCCAAGGAGAAAGCGATGAAAGTCTGTCCAAGCGAAAGCGAACATGCTTCGCCATTCTTTCTCCAGCTCTTGAAAGTTGGTCTTCACGTCCAAGGATTTCCGTAGCTCTGAAAAATAGTGATCCAGAAGACCAGGCACTCTCTTTTCACACTCTCTCTCATCCATGCAGCTGCCCAACAAGTAAATGACATCCTTCATCCCACACCCTCCACCAACATACTGAAAATCAACAGCTGCAACCTGTAAACCGTCCTCGGAGAAGCAGAAATTTGCTAGTTTCGCATCACCGTGTAGAATCGTCTTGAAGCGGCAGTTGTTGAGGATGCGGTCTATCTCTGCAGCAGCTGCTTTGAGTTTTTGATCTGACATGGCTTCTAGCTCCTCTGGTCTTGTTTCTAAATGCCAATATGTGCCTACAGGCCAAAGTCCTT